TTAGCTGATGTAGGTAACCAATCCTGAAGGCCTATTGACGTAGGTAACCAATTCAGAAGATAGTATTTAAGAAGCAATTAGGCCTATCACATGATATTACAGTTTTAGAGACAATTGGCCTATCGCGTTAGTTTTTCTTTTTCTTTTATTATTTTACTCGTGAATAAATATATTATTTTACTAATATAACTTACTTGCAATCAGTTGAATTATTGCCTGACGCAATTGTATAAATACTTTTGATAACTAGTCTGACGTAAAACTTGTAAACTGTTAAAAGAATTACTGCTCAATTAAAAAGAGTTAACCCTCTAACACTACATCTAACAGTTGTAACCTGAAAAAATTGCACAATAACATTTGACGACAATGACAGAACTATCATTTCCTAATTGGTGCAGTAATAGCTTATGAGAATACTAAAGAAAGTATATGAGTTTTGCAAATATAATTTGATATTAAGAACAATTGAGAAGAATATCAAAGAAGCTTAAGAGAAAAGATAGAGGAAATGAAGTGTTGAATTAAGGTTATATAAAGGTTACACAAAGACTCAATGGACAGTACCTATTATTTTCGACCTCAAGAAAGCTTGTATAACATTTTGATCACATAAAGTTCACTGAAGATCACCTGACCAAATGCTAAATCTCAATTGGATAAAAGAAATAATAGATTCAAATTTAGGACTAAAGTTACGGACGTCATTATTTCAACTTTGACAAATTAGAATTTTACAAAGTATAGACCATTAGAACTGTTAAATCTCAAGGATCATAATGATATATGTTTCATTCAAATCAAACCACTGGATGGCGAGATAATTGAAGAAACGTTATTTTTATTTTTATTTTATATTTTATTGGATTCTAGAAAATTTATTCAAAAAAAAATTTTATTGAATGATCACGTGATATTAGAAAAGGATTATAAGAGTGAAAGCGAAAGTGTCAACAGCGTGATTGGCAGCTCTTAAAATAATATTAGACAATTTTAAAAGGGCAAAAATGCAACGATATGCAAAAATTTTATTGAAAGATAAAAAAAATAACAAAATACATCAATATAGAAGAAAAAGAAAATATATTTATAAGAAGCTATCTATGACAACTATTACTAGCTATAAAAGATAAAGAGAAAGAGCGTAGTCTATAGAACGGCCAAAAAGGCAACGGCAAAGTGTAGTTCTATAACAGACAAAAATGCCAACGACATCTCTTCCTAATAAAAATATTAGTAGTAAAATTAATTATTAAGAGGCATGTGATAAGAAAAATTAAATTCTTCACTTCTCTAATGAAGTTGCTCCAATATTCTTTTAAAGTTTCTCTGGATTTGGTTTAAATTATTCTGAAGATTTTGCACTGATTAGACATCTTTATAACTTTGGAGGCGATCAACATCAGCTCTTGCACAATTATATTGAAATAGAAGACTCTCATATTCTATTTCAAGGTCTTGATATCAATGCCTATTGCGAGATAAATGGGAAGATAAACGATGAATTTCATTAGATAAACTATTTACTTGAAACAAAAAGGAATTTAATAGTTGTCAAAGCCTGTGATTTTCAATATCAAGTTCATTTATTCTTTGTTGTTTTATTTTTTTCTTTTTGATTTTGAAGGTTGTATTGATAACGTGAAAAAAATTGCTTTTGAAAACTTTTGCCCATATTGCAAATATAAAAGCTGAAAATTTTGTAATAGTTTTAGTAAAACTGATAAAATTTGATGCAAACAGAAAAGATTTTAGACAAATATTTATACTCAAAAGAAGTGGTTATGAAAATTCTCAAGACTATGAGAATTATTTTCTTGCAGAAAAATAAACAAAAATCCATTGGATCGCATTAGATGATGATCATTACATAAGAATCTATAGAACAAAAATCTGTTTAAAATTGGCGTAGTCAATCAACATTACCAAATTAGATGATCACGCAATATTTATATAGCATATTCTTGATCAACATTTCTTGATTTAGTACAAAATTCAGAAAATTTTCGTAAACTACATAATTTTAAGAGTTCAATAAAATACACGTATGAGAATTAAGGAATATGAAAATGTTATTTTCCTGAAAAAGAAACTACTTGCAATATTTACATAGTTTATGCAGTAAGAAAAGTTAAACAACATAATCAGTTGATCAAAAATTAATTTTAATTTGTGTTCAACAATTTCCTTGTGGTAGATTTCTTAAATATTAGATTTCAATGAACTTTTCAAATATAGAAAAAGATTAAGTATATTATAGATGAAGATCAGATCAATGTAATCAAGCCACTAAGTATATAATTTATTTACAAATGATTGACAAAATATACAACCCAGCCACAATTACCAGTCTAACCTAACGAATCACTAGCAAAGAAAAATTCCAAGAAAAATCTTAAGTAAAAATAAATATCCTAATCACCACCCAAACCATCCAATTGAAGTCAACACCAGACCTTCTCACAAATCTTTGTAAAACAACCACTATTCTAAAAACGCCTTCTTTTGATAAAGGTTTTCAGCTTTTAACATATTTATTCTTTATTATAACAGTTCTTTGCGAGTATTTTGATCAGCTATAAGATATGCCAGTCTGTCTGCCATAAGCAACCTCTTTCTTTCTTCTTCTTGTGTTTAAGTTTGCAGGGTTGCAAACTGTTCATAAACTTTTTTTTTTGTTATGAACGAAAATTTCTTATATGTTTAACACTTTTTTGAAGATTATTTTTAGAATGATTATTAGAAGGCATTTTTTTGAAAAATTTGAAGATTTAAAGATTTAGATTTTGAATAATTGAATCAACATGCGTAAAAGTTATATTTAAGTAAAATAATTTATCACGTGACTTTAGAAGATCAGTCAAAATCAAGCTATTTAAATAGAATTTTAAATCCCATAATTCTAAAATTCAACAAATTTTAACCCTATATAATATTAGAAAAACCTATATTTATAAGGTTAATTGCGGATAGCATGAATACGGCATACTCCCTTTAATAGGTCGCACATGAATACAGCATGCATTCTGCAAAATTCTTTTTGTAAATTTTAGAAATTTAAACTTTAAATTTTTGCAGGAGCAGAAATCTTAAGCAGGAAGTAATGTGACCAGGTGATGATCTTAACAATCATATATCTACAAATATGTAGTGAAATACAAAATATTGATAATGTCAAACATATCAAACATGTTTAACATATTTGATATAATTAATATGTTTAACATATTAGATATGTTTAATATAGTAAATATAATTAACATAGTTAATATATTAGATATGTTAATATATATAGTAAAATAGATATAAATATAAACCCTTTTGTAAGTTAGAAAGAGGAAACAGATAGTTGTATAGAAATCTCCTTTTTGTAAAATATAACGCAATGCTATTCTTTGTGTATTTTTGTTAGCTGACATAGGTAACCAATCCTGAAGGTCTATCAACGTAGGTAACTAATTCAGAAGATAGTATTTAAGAGACAACCAGGCCTATCACATGACATTACAGTTTTAGAGACAATTGGCCTATCACGTTAGTTTTCTTTTCTCTTTTATTATTTTACTTGTGAATAAACATATTATTTTACCAATATAACTTACTTGCAATTAATTGAATCATTGCCTGATACAACTGTATAAATACTTTTGATAACTAGTCTGACATAAAACTTGTAAACCATTAAAAGAATTACTGCTTAATTAAAAAGAGTCAACCCTCTAATACCATATCTAACAGTTGCAACCTAAAAAGATTGCATGATAAAAATAGTAAGATTGTAAATTTATCTATTAATTCTTATAATTTAAGAGAGAGTTGAAGCAAAGTTAAAAAATAATTGAAATATAATTGAAAGAATTATTATTATTTTTAATTATAAAATAAAATTATGCAATTAAATAATATAATATTATTATATATAAAAATTAAATATAACTGTTATTTATTATATAAGAAATATTAAAAAAGATTAAAGATTTATCTTAAAAATTAATTTTATTAAGATTAAGTATTTTTAGGTAGTATTATTATAAAGAATAAATAATTAAAATGATTTATTATATTATTAATTTTTTTATATTTTTTAATAAATTATTTATCTTTTATATATTTATAAATGTATTATTTATCAGTTATAATACCTTTAAATACTCTTTTTTTTATTGTAAATTAATAGATCAAATGATTATAAGTTAAACTTTATATTAATCTTATATAAGATTTGTCAGTCTTTAAAATTAAAATTAATTCAACTTAATAATAATAAATATCTTGCACGTGATTATTTTAACTGAAACTTAATGCAGTAAGTAAATAATGTTATCGTTATTGGCTAAAAACTTTTTGTGATTTCGTTGACTAACCAAATTTAAGCAGCCGAAACTCAGCCCACAAATTCAAAAAATTTTGTAACCCTAATTTGTTGCATTACCCCTTATTTTTAGTATTTTTCCTTTGCTCAATCTTACCTACACTGACTATAACTTTGACCCTCAGCAGAGTTTACCAGAGTTTGAAACTCAAAGAGATAAAGCCACTACTGTATCTTGTTGCGCCCAACATAACTACTTTTCACTCGCGTCGTTCTATTTCATATAATAATTTGTCTTATTACAAATTAACAGATCGTATTAAGGAAAGAAAATTAAACCTACTAGAACTTTTTTTTTTGTGTACTCACGCATCGCACAAAGGCAAGCTTTTGTAATAAAGCTATAATAAATAGGTATTTCTTTAAATCCTATATTCAATTTCGTTTTTGTTTTAAAAATAAATGAAAAAAAAATTATCAATTATAACATATATAATATATAATTTCACGTTTCATTCATTCCTTTCCGCATCACTTCGTTCCTTTATAGTCTGTATAATGTCGTTAATTGGTCCTTTAATTTTATTATAACCCTTTTAGAATCTTTGATTTTCCTCACGGAAAGCCTCATACATTTCTACATTTCAATTACATAATTGCATTAACCTAACTTTTTTCAAAGAAAATAATGCCTAGCGACACGCGTACAACTCCTCAAACTGCTCAATCTCCAAACATCGTTGATACTATTGACCCTGAATTACTAGCACAACTTAATTCCAGAAGAGACAATGTAAGGCCTTCGAAAGTGATGTAACATTTTCGAAACTTCAACTATTTCAGTAAATTGTTTACATTATTACAAATGAATTTGTCGTAAATCTATTGTAAATTACTTCATTCAGCTTGTATACGCATATGAGCAAATAGCCCAAGCTTTGAGGTATGCAGCAAAGGCCTGCGACGAATTTCAAGCACTTATTCCAAGAGATGTAGGAATTATCCCTGGTGATATGAGCGTTTCAAGTCCATCAATTGGAAGTCAAAGAAAATTCAAAAAAACCTCAAGCCAAAGATCCAAATGCACCAAAAAGACCAAACACTGCCTACATTCTCTTTAGCAATGAAATTCGGGCCGAGACAAAAGCTGCCAATCCTCAAGCTAATCAAAAGGAAATCGTCACTCTCATTGGACAAAAATGGAAGGCCTTATCTCGAGAAGACAAAAAGGTAAGAGATTAATCAATAGACCATATTGAGTAAAAATAATTAATTGTCTCCGTTTGACCCAAATTTGGCTTCCGGCATTACGTCATAGGTGTACGAAGATCGGTATTTTGCCGATAAGGAACGATATGACGAAGAACTCCGCGCTTACAGAGCTACACATGGTCAAGTTGAGTCACCTCCAGAAACTTCTTCAAACGAAGATAACGAAGTTAATGCTTCGGGTGTCGCATCATCTTCAAAACAAGCACAAGCTGGTACACCAGGCGCTTTTGTTTCTCAACTGCACATTTCTCAAGTTGATTCTACAGTTTTAGGTGGTCAAGCTTTGCCTATTTCTGTACCACCGGAAACTGCATTGCTGGAGACTTTCATTGAAAATTTCCCAGCAGATTCGACGTCTTTTACACAGAATGCTGTGGCAACAACTTCTACCGATACTAATCCGGTAAAGAAGCGTTGTTCTCCTGAGCCGGATATGGAGATTGGTGATTCTCAAAAACTAGACGACGAAGTCCCAGCTTCTAAACGAACGCGTGCATCAGCAAAGAAAAACCAGTTACCTACGGATCTAGATCCAGACTCTATTTTTACTCCGCCTGATGACCCAGAAGGAACACTAGAGCAAGATGAGACCCTCACTGGAACTAAGCGGCCAAGAACCAAACGAGGTGCGGCATCCAACGGAAGTTCATCGACAGCTCAAGGGTCAAAAACTGCTGCTTTGACTGCCCGCCGCAAGCGCGGCGGTAAACCTTAAGTTCCCTTCTTTTTTTTTTCAAAAAAAAATTTTATATTTTTTTTATGCGATTTACTTATCTGTTCTTTTTTTTTTAAGTAAACAATAAAAGAAATTTTTCGTTTGGACAATAATGACAATATTTTCTTGTAAAGACATTTCAATATACTAGAACAGAAAAATCAAAATCTCTTAATTTTTTTTTTTCCATCTCATTTCACACTTATTAGACTTAAAAAATTGATAGCAAAGTCGAATAATAATATTAGAGTATTTAGTTAGGGTTGTCAAGAATAGTAAATATTCAAAAAAAAAAAAAAAAAAAAAAAATTTGAATTAAATGATTTCACGATGTATATAATTTTTTTATTAAAAAAATTTTTATGGGGGTGACAATATAAGAAAAATAAATTGTTTGTCATTACATGGACAATTTATATCAAACATAAATATATAAGTCATATTATCACACTTGATAAATATATACGTTGAAATAAAATTATTTATTATTATTTTTTTTTTTCATATACATATATATATGTATATGTGTATATTATTTTTTATAGTATTTGGCGATTAATATAAATAAAAGGAAAAAAAAAAAAAATCACCAAAAATATAATTCAGCATCAACATCATCTTGAAAATCAAATTCACAAGATTGTAAATTACATTGGATATCATCTCGTTCGCTAAATTCATGAACTCCTTCAAATCCAACTGAAGTCCAAATAGATCGTTCTTCATTCGTGGAGGAAGAAGACGATTTATTTTGTACCCGTTTAATTATTTCTATTTTTTTTTCTCCCCTGCGCCAGTTGTTGGTAACCCAGTTGAAACTTTAACGTAATCATAAATAAGCCATTGTAAAGCAGTTAATGTACCGATCATAAAAACACGAGTACCAAGCCCTCGCCAAATTCCTTTAAACCCAAGTTCTTTCATAAGGCGTAGAGAAAGTGCTCCTGTTGATTCTCCTTCAGCTTTCTTTACATTATTAAGCTAATTAACATGAAAATAAAATAAATAAAAAAATTGATAAATAAATAATTCAATACATGATGATGATGATGCTCAAGGATCCTCTTCTTTTCTTTTCTTACCTTGGAAACTAAAGTATCCGCAGGATGACTGACAATTGCACAAAATACACCAGCGATATATCCACCAAGGAAAGATACACCTAATTGTTCAAGTTTATTATAATCTTGTTTGGGTTTTCCGAGAGAGGAATAGATAAATTCTAAATAGCAAGATGATAAAGTAACATTAGTAAATGATGTGAAACAGATGATAAGAATTTTTTTTTTTTTTATTAGCACATACCGACGGTTTTTTCGAAACTAGCAAATTTCATCATGGTGTAAGGGACCTGTCGAGCCCAAAGGGGAGAAAGACCTTTGTAGAAACTAAATAAAAAAAAAAAAGAAAAAAAAAAAAGGTTATATAAAGATTTGAATTATTATCAGGATAACGAAAATGATAAAAACACTAACCCACTTAAGCCTTCTTGTTTCAAAATTTTATTGAAACCTTCAGATGTAGATTTAGCAAATGGTTCGGTAGATGTTTGCATTCTCACTTTCAATGCCTCCCATGGACATAGAGCAATATCAGCGAGAACTTCAGCACTTAATAAAAAAGATTACATCAGCACGTGACATGACCAAAGCCATGGTATTAATTGGGTAATGCCATTAATTAAATTACCTTGCACTGGCAGACAAGTAAATAATGGTACGATATTTATGAGCAGCTTCTTCGCCAGCAATGTCGGAATATTTCTTCTTAAACAATTCATAAAAACCGTATTTTGCAGCACCTTGGAAGGAATATCCTATAAAAGTGGGTCCCCAACCGGTATATAATCCTCTTATTCCTTCACCACGATAAATCTTTGACCATCCATCGAAATTACCCTTGTAAAGTTTGGCATCGACCTAAAATCAAAGATTTCTTTATAGGTAAAAATTATTCCAACAACGACAAACGGAAAGAAAAAAAAAAGACAGCAGGTAAATAATATATTATCAAAAGAAAAAAAATCTTTTATTAAATTTGTTTAGTTTTTTCCTTTAGTTAACATAGTATTAACCTAACAGCCGAGATTCTAAAAATTTGAAAAATTTCGAAGTTTATACCTGTCTACGGCACTTTACAAGATCAAGAGGGGTTACAAAGGTGTGAGTTAAACCACATGCTAAGACACCACCAAATGCGCACGTATAATAGTATTTCGGAGAGTAAAGTTCGATCGCTTTCTTATCCATATTGACAACGCTGGAAGTTTGAAAAGTAAGTCTCTACTTGAACCCGAAATATCGATTTTATCTATAAAAAAAAAATTTTTTTTTTTTTTTTCTCCATACTGATACGCGGAAAATTAGCGAATTAAAAAATTGATTCAATCGACATATAGTACATATAATGAATCAATCGACATATAGAGTAGAAAACATTTTCATATGCGCGTTAAACGTGAAACAATTATCTCGGGTAATTCCGGGTATGTAACGTTGATAGTTTTGTGAATCATTATGACAGCGAAAAATTTTCTTTATTATTCGAAAAATAAAAAATGTAAATTATTTTTTTTTTTTTTTTTTGATATTATTTATTTATTTAATTTTTTTTTTTTAGAATATCCTTAATTCATTTTGCGAATTAATTCATTAATACGATCTTCACGATCGCCGAAATCACCGCCTTCAATATAATGCCTAAATTTCCTGGTATGCCAGCCGCCAGTAGGATTGGAAAGTTTAAATGGCCAAAGGAAGTTGTTGACTTGTTTGAACTATTAATAAGATCGATAAATAACAAAAAACGATAAAATTGTAAGTTAAAGAAGGTATTTCACCAGTATAAATAAATTTGAATTAATACTCACGTTAGGTCCAACTGTGAAAATCTCGTGAACCAAATCTTCAACACAAATAATACCAAATTTGCCCAGATTTTGTTCAATGATAGCGTTTTCGGTTATAGGAATGCGCTGTCTGCTTACTTTTGCGAATCCACGTTTGTAAATGAGTTCTCGGACTGACCTTTTAATATGAAAAATAAAAATACAAAAAGATAAATACACCAGTTAAATCACGTGCCCAAATCATAAAAGATTTATACTTACTTTAAATTGGGCTCACCATATGCAACGTAGGGTGTAACCAATTGAAGCATTTGTTTAGTTGCTCTGGTTAGTCTAACAAATATTCCGTTGTTGATTTGTAGGAGACGCAAGAGTTGAAGAATCTTGCGTGGTTTAGGTGGAATATGATTGATACTATATTTTTTTTTGAAAAAATAAATAATTAATTAATTAAATAAAAAAAATAAATTAATTTCACAGATTTATAATATATGATAATTTACCCTTTAATACGAATAACAAAAGCCAATTTTGGTTGAGCTGGGACATAAAAATTACCACATGCTTTTGCTTGACGGCGCAATCGAATTTCTTGACGTTCTGCAGCACGGTATTCCTTAACGTACTGTTCTGCACGTTTGAAAATTACTCTACGAGTCTTCTTGGCTGCCTAATTAAAATGTTAAGATTCCATCCCAAGTAAAAAATTTATTAAATCTCAAATAAATTAAAAAAAAAAAAAAAAAATGATGAAATTAAAAAATTGGAAAATTAGTGGATATCAGTCCCGAAAGATGGTATTATGTAAAATCAACATCGCCGAAGCTAGCATTACTAGGGGTATCCCCTTATCATCATATGACCAATTTTCCCAATAAAAATGAATCAATCAAAATAATTTTTTTTTGCCAAGATTTCTTTTTGATACAAAAAAATTTTAAAATTAATTGATTAAAGAATTAAACTCCTAATATACCTTGCGTTTCTCTGTAAGGGAAGCTGCCTTTTCCGCAGCAATCTTCTCCTGATTTTTCCTCTTTTTTAAGAGAGTTTCAGGAACTCGAATCTCCTCAGCAGTGGGCACAGTTCTATAAAGTTGAAATTATAAAAAAGAAACTATCAATATTAAATATCACTATGCATTATAATGAACTTATCAAAATTAGCTCATCAATTCTACAATAAAATAGCTTAATTATAACTTACAATCCGGTGGCCATTGTCAACTATTTGTGAAAAGAGAAGGATCGATTTTTTTTTATTGCGATTCATCTTTTTATGAAGGCAAAAAATTTTCATTATCCAATCATAATGAATGATCAAGTTTGTAGTAATTCATAATCCACGTGATATATAAGAAAATTCGAATGTAATTCCGGCTAAAAAATTTTGATATTCAAATATTTGTTTAATTATTTTTATTGCTCAAAATACAAATCATACAAATCAAATATAAATACAATCAAAGAACGCCGTTAAATTTTTTTTTTTTACAAAGTATTTCTATATGACAAATTTATGTAACATGAAACTTCAACAGATACCCACCATAATAAATAAATTTAATAAAATCCAGAAAAAAAAAAAAAAATTGTTTCAGAAGGAAAATTTCCATCTCAAGGTCTAATTATCAAAGAGACCAAGTGTGTTTACTAGAAAGTTTAAATAAATAAATCGATAAAAACTATGTATAGATTAAAGGATAATAAATTCTTATTTGAAAGACATAATGGAAAAAGAAAAAGAAAAAAAAAAAAAAAAACGACTTTGGGTGTCCGGTTGCTAAATAAGGTTAGAGTAAGTCATATTAGGGATTAGGATTAGATCGAGTAAAAGCGGAAATAATTTCCCATCGCATATAGAAAGTTCATTCACTTGGGAAATAAATACACGGAATCCCCAACTTCTTGCGTATATAAAATTTATGAAATGGAAAAAAGATGATTATATAATTTACTCTTAAACCTTTGTTAAACCTTCTGCTGAAAGTTTCACCGTGATTGAATTAGGAACACTTCCACTTTCAGAAGATTTATCAACTTTGTTAACTCCGTTTAACTTATTAACACTATCATTTTCGGGTGCTGGATAAACAAATTCCGTGCTACAGCCTTCACCCTCATCATTGTCATCATTGTCATCTGGTTGATAAACAAAGATTTCATCATCTTCTTTTGTGTTATTGTTCAATTCAATACTCGAGGTTGCTTCCGTAGGAGTTGGAGCTTGATAGACGAAAGGTTCCTCATCCTCCTCATCTTCCTCCTCCTCCTCCTCCTCTTCCTTTGCTGGATAAGTAAATTCTGAATCATCATCATCGTCTATTGTCGTACTCGTAGTAGGATTGCTTCTAATTTTATTCTTTTCACCCATTTCTAATTCCTTAATGGAGACATCGATATTATTTCCCATGTCTGGCGCTGAACTAGATAAACTATAACGAGGAACGAAGGGTTGAGCATTAGGATTAAGATTGGTTAACGTAGAAGAAGGCGATAAAGAATGTTGATGAGGTTTATGGCTTGCTGCTTTTGGGATCGGTATAGCTTTCGTTTTACTTGTAAAGCTAGAAGTTGTTGTTGTTTCATCATTTGTAACATTAGAAGAATTTGTACCAACAGAATCATTTTCAACAATATCCATGTTAAATTTAAATTCTTCTGTGGATTTCATTGCAATTGCGATCTCTTCGGATTTAGAAATTTCTCGTGATGCGGAAGTTGAAGATGCACCATTTACAAAAGATGTTGATTCTCTTCGCTCATGATTATTCATAAGAGAAGCTTTTGAATGTTTATCAATTAATCCTGAAAAACTATTATTATGTTGTTCTAATTTATTAGGAGAAGGCTTATTAGTTTGAGATCTTGATCCATTGGTCATCTCATGATTCGATGATGAACCAGCTTCGACGTTATCTCCACTATCTTCGCTACCGATGTCATAGCGTCCCACGCTAGTATTTTCAGATCCTTCTTCTTCATCTTCATTCTCATTTTCAGTGCAAAGTAATTGCTCATTTTCTCCAAGTGGTTCAATAACTATGCTCTCATCGATTAATTGTTGTTTAGTTAAATAAACACGAGATACCAGCCAATGATGCAATTCAAAGTTTCCATTACCCAAGCAAGAGAGGTCCAAAGGCAAATTAATGGGGGTTCCATCCACCGTGATTGTATCTCTTACACGTGAATTTGAAGGAGAAACCTTACGATTACCATTAAAATTATTTGATTGCCATTCATCTTCATCAGTACTAATAACGTTAGATTGGCATTGCTCAAGAAGTGAGAAAATTGATGCTAGTTTACGTTGACCCGGAGCTGAAAGAATTACTTCGGTGTTATCTCCAGATTTACCACTAGTGTAAGATTGGGTTATAGCTTTAATCTCCTCATAGTGAGGTTGCATCCAAGGAATAACAACCATTCCTTGGTTAACATCGCGGAAAGATTCCATCTTTTGAGAGAGTATTTCCTTATATGCTTTGTAATCATCATCTTCTTTCTTAATATGTGAGGATAACTCTTTAAGATGTTGACTAGTACGACTGGGTAAACCAACCCATAATCGTCTTATTCTACGGACTTCCGGAGATGTAAGAGCTTTCATTATAGCAGCAAAACTGTTAAAATTACGATGAACGTTTAATAAATAATATGCGATTTTTACAGCGTGAGCAATAATATTTTCCCTAGAATTCTGAGCACTACGTGATGGATTCATCGAAGATCGGGCTGTATCAGCATAAATCATGAACTGGTGAGTGAAACTATTAGTCAAATAACGATGGAAATCCATGCACGCCTGTGCTTTTTTATCTTTTAAAGTTAAATCTTTTTTTAAATTTTTTAAATCGACTTTTTTGAATAAATCACTGTCAATAATAGTCAACTGTGTAGAAACGTCATTGGGGTGATCCCAGTAGATGAGTGTGACCTCAGCAATAGATTGGATCTGATTATTGACTTGGTCGAGCTTGGTTTTCTGTTGACGGACTTGCTCATCTAATTTACGATGATTAGAAAGATTGTTATTACCATCTGAACTTTTTTGTTTAGCTATGGAAACTTTTTGATTGACAGTGGCAAGTTCATGAACATAATGCATGGATTGTCGAGTGAGTGGGGAAAAGGGAATAAGAGGTAAATATTGTGGAGTAGGATTTGGTGTAATCATTGTAGCTGTATCAGCAATGCTTGATGGTTGAAGAGGGGAAAAGGCTCCATTTGTGGTCCTATTTTGTAAAATGTCCTCAAGCCTTTGAACACATAACTTGAGCTGAGTAAACAGCTGGGCAGCGTTATGTGGTTTAGTTTTTACAGTATCTAAATAAAAGAATAGAAAGTTATGTTAACTCTGATGGTAATGAAATTATTTAAATTAAATCCGTCATCTCAA